GACCCTGCTGGATAGATGGGATACTTGATGCCAGCCACAGAAAAAAGCGGAAGTGCCTACGGCGTCAGTAGTAATCTGGATTCGACACGGTTGGAAACGGGATACAGCCATCCCGTGGGGGTGCGTCGAAGTTGAGCGAGGGTTGTGCCGTGAGTGTTGCTGTTGGCTGTTCTAGGGTTTTATGTTTAGGGTAGATGTTATTATGCAGTGCTCGATGCCCCTCCCCCGCAAGGTACAGAAAAGCGTCTGTCGTCACGCATGTCCTCTGGCCGGGGATAGGGCACGCCTCTTCGTCGGCGTACGCACGTGAGATGATGCCCGCTCTCCTTGGTCTCGAAAGCACGCGTATCGAAGAGCGTGTTTTGATTTTGTCGTTTCTTTCGTTGTGGTGCGGTGCTGTTTGGGGGCGGGGGGGTGCTGTAGGTTCTCACGGCTGTGAGCTAGTCAGCTCTTTTGGAGCTCTGATGTTCTTGTGGTGTCGTGTGTTTTGTACCTCCGCTAGACCAAGTGTCATCGTGGAAAAAACGGGTTCAGGATTTAGTCGATATACCGAGGCGGTGAACGTGAGTGGGTCAGAAAATTAAAGACGATGTGACGTCGACCATAACGTTACTGGGGATTATTTCAGGGTTCAGAGGGCAGCCACGCGAAGCATTTTCACAGGGTTGTCGAACGCGGCGTATCCTTCGTCGATTTTCATCACACGAGGCTGTCGGTATTTGCTTGCCGCGTTCTGCGTGAAAACCGTCACCGTCCGCATCATGAATGAAACCACCACACCTTGAAAGTAAAAGATGACAATATCTTCGAGGAGTAGAGTAGTATTAGCACGGCTGCCTGAGGGAAGCTGCGTTGCCAATACTCCCCGCAGTCGGCCTTGTTGTGAGCCAGTCATTGCAGCTTTCGAGGCACAAGTAAAAAGTAAAAATTACAAAGCGGTCCCGGGCAAGGGGCGCCTGCTGTACTGCTACTGCTATTGCTGCCGTCAGGACCGTACCGTTCACACGCACTGCAACATCCTACAGCCCGTGTCGTGTCTTGTCTGTCTGCCATGGGCTACGAGAGGAAGGTCCATCTCTGTCTTTCTTCTCTCTTACTCTGCCGGGAAGAATCGCCACCACACCACAAGCCAATGCACTCTGGTGTCTCGTCGCCCTAGTAGCCCAGGAGCTCCCAAAGCTTCGTCCACTGCTAACTATTAATACCCCGGCGCTGCCCAATGCATGACCGCGTGGGCACCATGCATGAGCTGGTGGGCATCCCGAAAACGCTACATACAATACAGTATGTATGTATGTATACGTGTGTATGTGCACAAGGCACCGGCGCGTGCTTCTATCGATTGTATGCATACATATCCTTCGTCTTGGTGGTGGACCCGTCATCATATGTAGTCCACTTGGTACCCCTTGAGGTTGTTATGGAACATCACGCTAGCCCAGAGACCGCACAGCACGAACACCACGCTCATGACCGACGTCAGCAGCCCGAGCTTCACGAAAACAATCGCCACTTGCGCGAGCTCTTTCCTGGAGAGGAGTATCAGCGAACAAACAAAAAAAAGTAACGGCCGTCAGAGATGAGGCGCCAAGAGAGGAAGCAAACGAGACTGGGTTGAGACGGAGACTATGCAAAGCTCACTCCGTGAAGCGCAAGCAAAAGGGGATGAGGATCACCAGTATCAGAACAGAAAAAGGACAAGGAAGGCCCATACTGTATTGACGTCCTCTTCGTTTCCCATTCCAATCACACTTTCATGTACTTCCACGGAAACACGAGGGACCAGGAGGGCAAGACAGTGGGGATATTTTGCGTGCTGCTTTATCAGCCCTATTGTGAAAATAAATCGATATTTGGTCGGGACGTCGCCTCTGGGCCACGGCTTCCTCCGCAAGGACGCATCCATCAACACATTACATGAAAAAACGCTCCGCGGCAACTGGTGTCGCCATGCTACCTATCGCAATAGCGTGCTGCGAGCGGTAACGTTTACTTCGAATAGAAGGCGTCGTCACGGCAGCAGAAAGGAGTTGCATGGAGCGGGAGGCTTTGAACTCACGGGTCAGACCACTCCGGGCAGCCGGGTACAGTGTACAGGCTGAAATCGAGCTCCGGTGTATATCGACAGCAGCAGCAACCGTGCACGCCCACCTACGACACATCACGGACAGCAGCAAGGACCGCGATTGATTGTTGAGGACTTCGGTTGCTTGCACGAGGACATTGGAGATTAGGTGGGTTCCATGAAACCTGCGTGGGGTACGAGAAAACGGTCATGAGATTGAAGTCGAGCGTTTTTTCCCTCCAAGTTTGATAAAAGTTTCGAATTGGGGGACATGGCGAAGGACTTTCGAAGGCAAACACAAGGGCGGAAAACTTTCATCAAAGTATTTCCGACAAAGTTGGAAGCGACCGTTCCAAACTGTCGTGCCCCACTCGCGTCCGCATTTCTTACTTCGTATTTTCCAGATATTGCTACGACTGCCCACACGCGTGTTAACAAAACATTTGGAACAAACATGAGCATCTGTGTGTAAACCGGGCTGAGTACGACGCAGAAGTTCTGTGGACCAGCAACGCCATGCTACTACCTGAGGTTCATTGTAGCCTCGACAGGAGGGGGGGGGGCGTACTCATTTGTTGCTTGCCGTAGTCATTTGACCATTGACCACTGCCTCGACAGCGGGGGGGGGGGGACCAGAGTGTGCGCAAGTAAAGGGGAAGCTTTGATTTGTCACGGAAGATATGCTGCACAGCCAGGAAACTACTTCGCAGTTGGACTATCATAGATCACACAGCGGGTGTGATAGACAAGACAGACAANTGCCTCGACAGCGGGGGGGGGGTGACCAGAGTGTGCGCAAGTAAAGGGGAAGCTTTGATTTGTCACGGAAGATATGCTGCACAGCCAGGAAACTACTTCGCAGTTGGACTATCATAGATCACACAGCGGGTGTGATAGACAAGACAGACAATTGGGATCACAATGTTCGATCCCTGTCCGGCAATAGATAAACATCACGCGAATAGAACATCACAACGCCTTCAGCTCTCCGCCAAAACAAAACATAATCCTCGTCGTAGGGGGACACTACGGCGGTGAAACCGGCCCCGACGACAACACAACACCTTCCACATCTCGGCTTCGGTTTCCACACGGCAACGCAGGCCAGCCTCGCACAGAGCTAAAATAACCCATGAACCTCTCTTGACCTTGAAAATTTTCTTGACGTTGAACCTCTTTTGACGTTGAACCTCTCTTGACGTAGAACCTTCACCCTAAACTCCCAACTATCAGGTGAACCTCTGTGGGGGCCTGAGGCCCCGGTACTCCGCGTTAAAAGCTCAGCAACAAACCGCCCTTGAAATTTAAATCGCTCCCAGAGCTTCCCATCCCGGCGACAGGAAGGAAGCTCCTGCAACGATAGTCTCCCACGAGAAAAAAAAACACACACACACACACACTTGGGGCGCGGCAAGGAGGGCACCAGGGTGGCCGAGCGACCCCCTCTCAGGTCAGCTCACCTCACACGCTATCCTAACCAGCCCTTCAGGGTCGTCGGGGTCGAAGCCGTCCGCGAGCCTCGCCCACGAGACTAGTCCCAAGGTAATGAGGACCAGGTAGAGCATCAGGACGGCGCCGAGACCTGCCATGTACACCTGGGTGACGGGGATGATGTCAACACAAGACCAACCACACCGAGAGGGAACGATTTGGCACCAGAATATCAGGGATATGGATATTTTGTATGTATGTGAAAACAACAACAACAACAACAACAACAACAACATGCAGTACCCCTCCCGCCTCCTGCCGGCAAAGAGGGGAGGTTGGCTGTTTTGTGATGGGTGCTTCGATCTGGCTCCAGCAAAGAAGACGAAGCCCCGCCCATGGATAATGAACAAACTCAATGGAGGTGATCCCCAATGCTGCGTTACATCAGCTGATAATTTACGTAAGAGAGAGCGAGAGAGAGAGAGAGAGAGAGTAAACCAACCACGCAACACATAACAAAGCATCCAACAGGGCCGAAAGACGGCAACAGATCTGACGTTTCTGATCCGGCTACAGAGCGAGAGAGAAATTTAGGGCAGCCTAGCAAGAACGTCACCAGCGACCACCAAGACCACCAACAACAACAACAACAACCAACAACCAACAACAATAACGTGCACCCATCACTACCGCGGACAGCCGTAGGCAAGACAGGCGGGCCACCGCACCTGCAGCAGGAGGTGATGACGCAAGTGCCCCGCCAGCACCCCCATCACCGCTACTACCAGCAGCAGGGCCCCCACGACATAGTGCAGGTCCACCAGACCCAGGACCTCCAGCATGGGACGATGCAAAGACTGCGCACACGGAAAATGTAACTTCCGCAAGCGGGGTTGAGAGCGACGACGGCGGCACCCAAGCAGGGATATACTTGTCGTATATACCAGTACCGCAACAATGTGACCACGGGGGGGGGGCTGTATACAGCCGGTGTCCGGTATGGTGCCGGTACATTCTCTGGGTACATATTGTACCAACAATAAGCAGCCCCTCCCCACTGTATTGGCTTTGAATGATCCGTCAAAGCATACATTGCCCGTACCACCTTCGCGCTTCTGTCCCGGCCAACAACATACAGCAGACCACACGAACTGACGTAGGGCTAAGGGTCCAAAACCCTCAAACGCGAGACACCTAAATGCGCAAATCTTTCTCGTCTGCCAAGACCTATTTCTAAACAGCAAATTCTCGCTAACATCAAACATGGTGCACAAGTGCAGCAGCATTATAGACATATCTATCGTCACATGTGACGGCTGAGACGGGTGAGACGGCTGAGGGTACTACACA